TCCTGGGGATGGGGCCTGTAAATGAGCCTCTCGTCCAAATCAACCAATGTCTTATGTAACAAGACAGGGACGCACAACACTGAAGATCTAAAGGGTCTCGCACCCTCGTCCACCAACACGCGGGAGCAAACGCCTTGCAGGTCAGGTCTGACACGAAGGAGTTCGCGTTTTTAAAAAGAAGGTACATTTTAAACTAGCTCGGTACCTACTCCGCCCAACTCGTTAGAGCACCGCTCGAAGAAAACTACCTTCCCGAGGCGCGGCAGGTTACATAAAACTCAAAAGAGTGACAAAAATGATAACGATTTACCTAAATTCATACCAGCAATTCCCGTTTTGGGAATCTGTGCTTTCACACGCATTAACTGCATATTCCGCGTTTCGGGTTCCGGCTTTTCCGGTCTCGCGCGCCAGGAGGGGACCCACCTTGTTTGCATTGGAGGAGATGGTGTTGGCCATGACCCCCTCCAGGTAGCTGCTAAGACTGACGCCCTTCACCGTAATCAGGGCCTCCTGCGTCAGCATCGTCCTGCGGAACAACAGCACAGCGGTCAAGGAAGCCTCGGCGCAGCTGCCCACTAGCGTGCTGTACACAGAGCAGCTCAGGCACATGCAATGCTACTCTGCAGGAAAGGAACACGCGGCGAGAACACACACACAGGTACACTCACGAGGGGAAGGCAACGGGCACTGTATGTGCACACGAAAGTAAGGTTTGACATCGCCTTCTCCCCCTGCCAGATCTCAGCCCAAGGGAGCAGGGAGAACAAGCTCCACACCCAACAAGCCAGCACACAGCACGAAAGATAATCCCAGTCTAAAATTCCTTACTTCTCAGGATCCTGGGGATGGGGCCTGTAAATGAGCCTCTCGTCCACGGAGACCATATTGGTCAGTGTGATCTGGAGAAGAGAAAAAAATCGAGAAGGGCTCTGTGAGGTCTGCAGCGGCGTGCACTGCGCGTATCTCAATATTTACAGGATGTGTGTCCATTTACAATTCTTCTTATTGCTATAGAACCCTGCAATAAACCACAGGGTAGGACGCAAATTTCCTCTTCACACAGGCCAGACACAGTAACATCTGTGGAGAAAGCAAAACTCACATTGGTTGATTTGAGCTCAAAAGTCTGCTCCCCTGGGTCCACCACAGAGTGCTCCTGGATATACGTGCACGTACGAGTGGCACCGATGAGCTGGGGGGAAGGACAGAGAGAAGGACAGGGAGGTTACAGTCTGCAGCAAGCAGAGATATTGGCTGCTAGTAGCATAGTGTAAAATAAATGGAAGGCAGTGCTGCTGACTGAATTCTTCACACTCCTGGTACACACATCAGACTCCCAAGGCGGAATTCTTGCTTGGGCAGCAGTGGGGCCTCTTCCAGCTTCAGCCTTCTGAGACTGTGACAATTGGGGAGCGTCTGCAACCGGGAGACTTCAGTTCTTCCTGCTAAAGGCCCTCCTTCAGTGAGGGTGGACTTTGGCTACGAGACATTCAGTCACAACCCCAGAGACGGCAGCTTTGCACCAGTTGCCTGTTAGCCAAGCAAACATCAAATAGCTGAGCCCCCTCCCCTCCCTTTCACAGAAACATTTCAAGTCCAATCTCTTCCACCAGAAAAAATGCCCCCCCAAGTTTTGCTGTTGATATGCACTGCCACACATTCACTGCCTTTAGAGTCACCAGTACCTGCA